CTTGTTGGGTGGCAGTTCTCCTCTACCATGTGGGTCCTGGGAATTGAATGTGGGCTATCCTAGTCTGCTTCAAGAACTGTTGCCTACTGAGTCACCCTGCCCACCCATGAAGCATCTGGTTATTGTGCTCTGATTGCTGCGTGTCACTGTAGTTAGTGCTTTCTGGTTTGATGAGTTGCAGAACCACTCATCAAACCTCACTTCGTCTCATTCATTGTTACCCCGTTCTCTACTGTTGTGGCTTCTGCTTCAGTGAGCTCTTCACTTTGGGAAGCACAGGCCAAGTTACCTAACAAAGAATAGATTGTCTTTCCAGGCAGTGACAATCAGCATGAAACAAAACAGGTGTGGAAGTGGATGCTGAGGTAAATAAAGACTTATCACCTGGGTTATTTGATTGGTAGTGGGAAATATTACTTAAGTGTAGTTGACCTTTTTTCCTTAGAACAGTTCTGAGGGATGGACTAGGATTTACTTCAAGTATTGGAAGCAGAAGGAGCAATAAAATGTATTGCTTTATTCTTCACATTTTTATTGATTAGACCACTTAGAAATTTGTCTGATATGTCCAAAATGTGACCATTATCTCTATTACGTATTTGGCGCTGCCTCGACTATAGTGGTCAAGGGCCAGAACAGCCTTCTCAGTCCAGTCACAGCTGTTGCAGATTGCCCTTGGTGGTAGGGTATCAGCGCTCCGTCTTCACCTTGTTTCTAAGACGGATGAACTTTAGGTTCCATTACTGTTTCCTAGAACATAGACTTAAGTGGATATAATTTTTTTCAGTTCTTTTAAACTTAAACATTGCTTTTTTAGAGTTGAGGATCAAATCCAAGGCCTTATACATACTAAACAAATACTCTACTACTGGGGTATATTCCTGGCATAATATTTAACCCCCTTCGCTTCCTGTGCCCAGTGCTAAAGCTCAAATCCCCAGTGCTTCACACGTACTAGGCGTGTATTCTACCCTCTAAACCCACTGAATTATGTTCAGAATGTAACATTTATTTCATAGGCATCATTAGGCTTTGCCACAAGTTTGGGTATACTTAGAAATTTTTATTTCTGCAGATATACATTATTTTTGGAATTGATTTATCTGTTTTCTTCAAGAAATAAAGAAATAACATCTCGGTACATAGTCTAGTCTAGGGTGGCCTCCAACTGGTAATCCTCCTGAATGTTTTGTGTGTGTGTGGTCATTAAGCCCAGTGCCCCATGCTTGCTAGACAACCACTCTTTTACTTAGTCATACCTCAGCTACTTACCTTTTAATGTCATAAGCACTCTTTCAGACATATTCTGTTTCTTTTCCTTCCTCCCCTCTCTCCATCCTTCATTTCCTTTCTTTCTTAATAAAAATTTCTAGACATTTTATTTCCTCTAATTTTAGAAATTAATTACTTTAAAAATTTGATCTCCCTAGAGGAATAAACCATTGTCTTCCTCCATGGTGGATTTGTTTTTTAATTAAATCAAATCTTTTTTGTTGTTGTTGTTTTCTCTGGGACTCTGAGGGAAGAAATTTAAGCAAGGGAACTGAGAAAGGTGGTCATCTTTCTTTCTTTCTTTCTTCCTTTCTTCCTTTCTTCCTTTCTTCCTTTCTTCCTTTCTTTCCCCCACTTCAGTTAGAAGCTGTTAAGAATAGTTTTAACAAAATGGTTACTTTGATCCTACATATTTTTCTATTGCAGTGACAAAAACTATGACCAAGGTAACTTTTAAAAGAAAGAAATTTAAAAAATTTAAAAAAAAATTTGGGGCTCATGGTTCCCAAGGTTAGTCTGTGACCATCATGGCAGGGAGCATGGTGGCAGGCTGTCAGGCCCGGATGGTGCTAGAGCAGCAGCTGAGAGATCACATGCTGAGAAAACAGCCATGAGGCAGAGGGCACACTGGAAATGCCTGGGGGTTTTGGAACATCAGCGCTCACCCCCACTGACATCTCCTCCAACAAGATCAAATCTCCTAATCCCTTCCAAACAAACAGTTCCACCAACTAGGGACCAGGTATTCAAATATGAGCTATGGGGACCATTCTCATTCAAACCATCACACGCAGTTTTCATGCTTCCTACTGCTGGATATTTCCTGGGTTTAGTTAGAAGACTGGCAAACATGGCAGCCTTTTGAAGTAAATTCAGTCATTTGGCCAGCCTACAGCTTCCTCCTTTGCTCCCTCCCTCCTTTATTTCCTCCCATCCTTCCTTTTCTCCACACAAACACACCCATGTGGAGGTCAGAGAACACCTTGAAGGAGCTGATTCTCTCCCTCCACCAGGTGGGCCCTGAGGATCATCCTCAGACCTTAGACTTGATGGCAAACACCTTTCCCCATCTCACGGATCCCCATGACAGAAGCTTTAAAAAAAATTTTTTTTTTGATGAGATGCTGTTTGTCAGTTTTATTTTTATGAATATTGTTTTTCTGTCAGGTTTAAGAACCTTTTCCTTACAGGGCAGGAAACCCTGACTACTCTTAGGGATGGAGAGGGAGGAGGAGAGAGAGTGGGGGAAGTGGGAGGGTGTTGGGAGGAGGGGCGGAAATGGAAACTTTTATAATTTAATAAACTTTAAAAAAAATAAAAATAAAAAAAGAAAAACAAACAAACAAACAAACAAACAAACAAAAGAACCAAGAACCTTTTCCTTAATTATATGCCCCAGAGATTTCCTTCTATGTTTTTTTCTAAGCCTTTTAAAAGAAATATGTTATACTGGTTTGTAATGTATTTTTAATTGACTTTTGTGTAGGGATGAGATGTTGGTTGAAGTCTCCCCAACCCCAGATGCTGCCTAGTGGGTGAATTTTTAGAAAGGAGCCATACCTTTAAAAACTATCTTCACAGATCTTTTAGAAGTGCAGTATGTATATATGTAAGGAAACATTATGATGAAACCCATTATTTTATACAACTAATTTGTGGTAGTAAAATTAAAAAGATAAGTAACTTTTTCTAGTTAAGTCTTTGTTTTTGTGGTATTAACATAAGCACTTTCTACATTTTTGGTTCCTGGTATGTCTCCGTTCATGATTTTCAGTCTGAGAAAACAGTTTAGTTCATGTTAAGGATTAGATTTTATTTTATGATCCAGTATGTCGGTCTCTTTGAATTTCTGGTTTAAAATTTAGTACATTTTGGTGATAAGAAAGAAGTTAATTTTAGTTTTTAAATATAATGTATTTTTTTAGTTTTATAAAAAAGGCTTTCTATATATTATATTTACTTTATTTTGAGCCAGTTATTTGTGGGAGATTTGTTTGGGATGAATGGAATGTCTCCAACTATATTCTTGACTAACTGGAGACCTTGTAGTAAATACTTTGGATTGATACACCTGCATCCTAGAGTTGGTCTATTTGTTATTTTTTCTGGAACTTGCATGATAATTACAGGCGGATTAGCTCCCATTCCCACCAACAGTGTATACAAGGGTTCCCTCTTGTCTGTCTGCTTGCCAGAGCTTGATGTGGTAGATGATCTTTTTGATGCTTTTTTGAATTGTAAATATTTTGTTGAGAATTTTTATATTTTTTGTATTCAGTAGGGAAACTAACCTATAATTTTCTTCTTTTGTTGTTTTATCTTGTTTTCTGGTTTTGGTATCAAGATAATACTGCCTTCATAAAAAGTTTGGTAGTGTTATCCCCCTTTCTATTTTATGGAGTAGTTTAAGCATCAGTGTTGGTTCTTAAAACAGGAGATTTCACTAGTAAATCCATCGGCCTGTTTCATTTGAGAGATCCATTTCTTTATTATTATTTGTTTAATTTCATTGCTTTTTATAATTCATTTATTTTTTAATCTTTTCACTTGTGTGTGTATGTTTGTGGGGTGTTCACACATGGCATGGCACACTTATGGACAGTACTGTGGGGCTGACTGTGCGCTCATGTTGTCAGGTGTCCACAGCCATCTGGCTGGCTGCTGTTTTTCTATGTTTATATTGACTTGAAGCGATGACCTTGACAAGGTTGTGGTAGGATTAGTTTTCAGTTTCTCTTAATTCTTTTAATATTTTTTGATATAATAGTAGTTCAAAGCCTAAAGAGTTATTACCTTAAAACCCTTTTTTGAGGCAAGGTTTCTCTGTATGACTTTGGTTGTCCTGGAACTCTCTGTAGACCAGTCTGGCTTCCAACTCACAGAAATCCACCTGCCTCTACCTTCAGAGTGCTGGGATTAAAGGCATGTGTCAACACTACTTAGCTACTATGAAATCTTAAAAGGAGTTATTTAGTTAAATCTTTTTTTATCAAGGATTTATTTGAAAGTAAGGCTCCCCTCCATTTCCTTCTCCAGATAGCCTATTCTATTACATAAAGAAGAACTCTCCAATGGATTATGTAATAATGCTCATGTTTGGAAAAGCAAAACATTCTTGCCTGTTCACACAAGGGAACATACATGCCTGTTCCGACAAGGGAACATTTAAGAAAAGTCTTTGGAATTGATACTTATTTAGAGAAAGCATCCTGAGGTTGGAGAGATGCCTCAGTGGTTAAGACTTGTGCTGCTCTTGCAGAGAGAGACTTGAGTTCAGTTCCTAGCATCTGTGTTAGTAGGTTTACAACTGTGACTTCAGCTCCAGGTATCTTGCACCTTCTTCTGGCCTCTATGGACATCACCACACATATGCACATACAAATGCACAGACACATGCACATAAGTAAAAATAAAATAAATATTAATAAAAGAAAGCATTCTGTAATATTGTTCTTAATGTCTTGGTGGATTCATAGACTCCTTAGAAACTGACAAAAGCAATGGTTTCTCTAGAGAAGTAAACTCATACAAACAAAGGCCGTTTTATAATTCCAAGGGAACCCTTATGGAGTTTAGGTAAAGAACTCCTCTGTTGAAAGCTCAGACAATCTACTGGATTCCTTGAGAGAATATACTACTTTTTGACTTTTAATATGTAGAGAAAAATACCTAACCCTAATTAAAGTCTATGGATTCTGATTTTGTTTTGAATTTTGCTTCCTCTCTAGCATCTGGACCATAAGAACTGTGCTTATTTTCTTCTTTTCCAAGAGAACAGAGAGAAATAGTAAGTTTAAGTTCCAAATATTTTTTATAAATATATATTAAATAAGCAAACTCATTGTGCGATATTTTATAAGCTAGTTATGAAATAGTTTATGAGATCATAGTATGTATGAGATTATAGTGTATAAGTATCAGAATTCTTTGCTCTACAATAAAATGAAGTTTGAATGTAATAAATTTCTATTTTTCATATATATCAGTTCTTATTTAGAATTTTTTCACAAAACATTTTTTTAAATAAAAGCAAATTATATTTGTTAAATTAATCTTTGTGGGAAACATTGGTACAAAGTAAAATATAACACACATATTCTTGTTCTTTTTATTTATTTTATTATTTTATGTGTATGGGAATTTTACCTGCATGTTTGTTTATACTATGTGTGTACCACCTGGTACCTGTGGAGTCAAGGAGAGGCCATTGGATCTCCTAGTTGAAGATGGTTGTGAGTGTCTGTGTGTGCTAGGAATTGAACCTGGGTCCTTTGGAAGAGTAACCAGTGCTTTTAACTGCAGAGCCATTTCTCTGGCCTTCTGACTTTTCTTTTAACTGTATTACTCTCATTAACCTCATAGCCCTTTACTTCGTTTTAATTGAAATATAAAAATAAAGAATCAGCTTCTGTGTATGTTTTATATATGGGCAAGTTGTAAAGATTTCCAAGTCTTAAGAAATATCTTAATCAGTTATACATTTATTTATTGAAAATTTTTTCATACAATATTCTGATCATTGTTTTCCCTCCCTCAACTCCTCCCAGATCCTCCCACTTCTATACCTAGCTAACTCCACACCCTTTTTTTCTCTCTCTTTTGAAAACAAATAGGCAATTAAAGAAAAAGCCAGAATAAGAAAAGCAAAAACAAAAAAAAATCACAAGAAACACACATATACACACTCAGATACATGCAAAAACAAAACCCATAAAAACACAAAATCAAACATCATGATATATAAGTGAAACAAAAAAAAAGTCCAAAAGGCAAATATGAGACAAAAGGCCTATAAAAATACCTTTGAGTTCATTTTGTGTTGGTCATGTATTACTGGGCATGGGGCCTACCCTAAAGTGTGGTTAACATGCCCAATAAGACTCCATTAAAGAAAACTGATTTTTCCTTTGCAAGAGGATGCCATTTGGAGCAAGCTTTTTGGTTAGGGATGGGAAATCGTATCCGTTTCTATTTTTCAGCACTGGAACCATGTTGACGTGACTCTGTGTAAGCCCTGTGTTTGCTGCCCCAAGTCTCTGTGAGTTCATATATGCACCTGTCCTTTTGTATCTAGAAGACACTGTTGCCTTGGTGTCACCCATCCCCTCTGGCTCTACAGTCTCTTCACTGCCTCTTTCATAGCTCTTTGAGCCCTGGGGGAAGGAGTTTGAAGAATCCCATTTAGGACTGAAATGTTCCAAAGTCCCTCACTCTCTAAACATTGCCTAGTTGTAAGTCTCTTTGTTAGTTCCCATGTACTACAAAGAAAGGTTCTCTGGTGATGGTTGAGTGAGGCACTGATCTATAGGTAGGACAGAATGCCATTACGGGTTATCTTGAGCATAGTGGTTCTCAACTTTCCTAATGCTGCGACCCCTTAATACCATTCCTCATGTTGTGGTGAACGCTAACCATAAAATTATTTCCATTGCCACTTTATAACTATAATTTTGCTTCTGTTATGAATCATAATGTAAATATCTGATATGCAGGATATCTGATATGTGACCCCTGTGAAAGGGTCATTTGACCTGTACAGGAGTTATGACCCATAGGTTGAAAACCACTGTGTTAACAGAATAGTAGTATTTGGTTTTCTGAATCTAAGTAGAGAGCTTTGGTTACTCCCACAGCTTTTGTGCCATTGTTTACTGGAGTGCCATGCAGATAAGTCACAGCTTGTAGCTGGGCTGGCCTTGGTCTTTTTCCTCTGCAGTAAGACCCTAGCTAAGCATCAGCTTGACCTCTCAGAGTTCAGTGAGATATATACATTCTTCTAAAAATAAACTTTCCATATGGTCTGCTTCTTTTTCTTTTCTTGTCCCCCCCCCCACTGTACAAAGTTTAGTATACTGAATTAATAAATATCTGTGATTCTACTGAAACAGTTATCAACTCATGGTCCATCTTAATTTTGTTTTTGCCTTCATCTTCACTATTTACATTATTTTGAAGTATATCTTAAAATAGAGTAATAATAATATAATGAATTAATCATACTTAAAAATATTAATATAAAATATAAAAAATTTCTGATAATTTAAGAAGTTCTACTTGCTTTAAGAATATTTTGTTTGATTCAGTATATAAATAAGGTTGTATAAATAGATGGCCTTTAAAACATTCTCCTTGCATATGACTTCACTTCTGTCTGCTTTAGGATATGTGGCCTAGTCCAAATAACCACTTATCTTCAGACACCTTTGATTTTTTTTTTTCTTTTTCTCACACTTTTCCTTATCCTACTTTTTTGGCAACCCTATACTCTTTGAATATAATTACATGCTTAATCTTTGACAAACACTATCTAAATACACTTAATATTTCCATTTAAAAAGTTTTAGTGTGTGTGTGTGTGTGTGTGTGTGTGTGTGTGTGCGTGCACCTGCATGTATTTATATGCCCCGTGTATGTAGTACAGATATCTGTGGAGGCTAGAAGAGGGCATTTGATCATTGGAACTGGACTTCCAGGTGGTTGTGAGTTGCCCGATATGGGTGTTTGGAACTACACTCTAGTTCTCTGCAAGATAGCAAGTGTTCTGCAACTGCTGAGCCATCTTTCCAGATCCTTGTCAAATCAAACTTGTATTGATAACTGCTCTATAATCCTAATATTGTTCCCTGGAAAATTTATTTTTCTACATTATTTATTTATTGTGTTTGTATGTGGGCGTATAGGTGTCACGCTGTACGTGTGCAGGCCTGAGAACAATTTGCAGGAGTTACTAATTTTTACTAATTATTTCTACAGAAAAACTAGAAACTTAACACATTTGTAAAGGGATTCCTTTTTTGTTTTATTTAATATGTATGTGTGTTTGTCTGCATGCGTGTATGTGCAGCACGAATGCCCAGCGCCTGTGAAGGTCAGAAGGAGGGTTTCAGATCCCTGAACTGGAACTAAGGGTTCTGGTGAGCCATCATATGGGTGCTGGTAAGTGAACCTGGGTCCTGTACAAGAGCAACAAGTGCCCTTAACCTCTGAGCCGTCCCTCCAACCCCTCTTTTATTTTTCCAAAATTATTTATTTTTATTTAAAAATTATTATTTTGGGGCAGAATTTCAGCATGTATCTCTGGCACCTAGAAATTCTTATGTAGACCAGGCTGGCCTTGAACTCACAGAGATCTTTCTGCCTCTGCCTCTCCCTAGTATTAAATGTGAGCAGCACCACGCATGACATAAGGGATATCTTTTGAAATGATTCTTCATGTCCCACTTTGCAAACTTAAATAAGCATGCAAATTTTAGAAATCTTTAATTTTGAAATGCTACTGATATCTTTTTTACGCCTCTTCTCAGATATAATGAAGAATTTCAAAAGTTTATTATTAAAATAAGTACCATGCTTATAAATAGAATATTTTTATTAGTATATAAAAGGAGATTCAGTATCTGTAAATTAATGTGAAATATTAAAAACAAGTAAAGTATTGTTTCTGAAAACATAAAGAATTTTGTCTAGGGGCTGGAGAGGTGGCTCAGTGGTTAAGAACACTAACTGCTCTTCCAGAGGACTCTGGTTCAATTTCCAGCACCACATGGCAACTCACAACTGTCTGTAACTCTAGTTCTAGGGAATCTGACACCCTCACACAGACATCCATGCGGGCAAAACACCAATGCACATAAGATAAAAATAAATTGTTTAAAAAATTTTGTCTATATAAAGTTCATTAATATTTTTCCTGAATCTTGAAATGTATAATACAGCCAGAATATGAAATGTATGGGTAAACATTAAGATAATTTTTATCTCTGCATATGTGATAAATTTAGAGGAATCCTGGACATTTCTTGTGTTTACTTCATGTATATTATTTATAATGATTGAATCTCATATCTAAGCATCTTAATATTTGATTTAACTTTGATTTAAATCTTGTTTTCTAGACGAAGCCTTGGATGATTTAAAATCCCAGAAGAAAAAGATAGTAAGTTAAATTTTTATCTAAAGTTAATTTATATAAATAAGTTAAGAACTGAATAATTAATGTTTATTATATATTATACCTTAGTGACTCTTCAAGGAACACTTTTGACAATATTTTGATGTTGAAATTATGACTTTTTTGTAGTTAATGATAATACGCAGGAAAAAGGTTAGATGTGGTGTTTTTAGATTCTGAGAACTATGCTAATTGGGAAAGTATGCAAATAATTCATATTGAAGAACTAAATGAGGCAGAGGGTATAAAGGTGAGTACCCAGAGTGTTTTTTAGAGCCCCAGTGGAGGAAATGTGTACTTGTGTTCATTCTTAGGTTTCTTTAGTACAGAGTGGGGGGGGGAATATTAGTTATAAGAGAAAGTCAACATGGAAAGACTGAAATGAGAGACTGTGATATTTTTCTAGTATCTTTTGCTTTACCCCTGCAATGGTGAGCACACGGGTACCCATTGTGAGGCTAGTTTGTGAATGACTTGTGTGTTTTGGGAAGAGTACTAGGGTAAGAAAAAGGGCTGAGGGGCTCAGAGGCCGGCACATGAATGTCTGTATAAGTGAGTTGATCTTGGGTTTGCCTCTGTGGTTTTACACGTTTTCTTAGTATTAAAGTGGAAATGGTAGTGATTGCTGATAGTATGATGTTATATAGAAACTCGTAAGATGGAATTTACTCAAGTATTCAAGTATACATAGTCTGTTTAGTGTACTTGTGTCTGGAGTATAGTAAGTTGATTCGTTTTCTGTTGCTGTGGTAAAGAACTGAGGTGTTCAACTTAAACTGATGACAATTCATTTTGGCTCCTGACCTTTTAAAGGTTTTAGTCCTTGATCACTTGCTTGCCTGTGGTAGCACAGTACCTCATGATGGGTGCATGTTGTATGAAAAGAATTTCATGTAATTTTCATGTATGAAAAGAATTGTATGTAAGTAACAATTACAAAACGTAATGGGGAGTGGGTTTGTATCAATTAGTACTTTAGAATTATCTTATTAAGGAAAATAAATGAAACAGACACACAAGTGAATATTAAGGCTGACTGATCTACTAGGAATCGCAGTTGTTGAAATAGCATTGATTTGAGTTCTCTGTTAAAGATGATAGTTTGGTCTAATCTTTTAAAAAATTTAAAACATTTTTATCTTTTAAAGACTTTCACTGCATATAGTCATTATATTTATTATGTTACATAAGGACATATTCTCACAAGTATGTATTGTATTGAGCAAGTTCCCTTCTCGTATCCCCTTGGTCTCCCCACTTCCATTAGTCCCCTTAGACAGTTCCACTTTTCTCATGCCATATTTATACATGTTTTTGTATGTGTGCAAAACCTAAGAATCACATATAGGAGAAAACATACAATACCTGCTTTTCTGAGACTGGCTTAATTTTCTTAATATGCCAGTCTTTGTAAACCTAGCAGTAGGCTGCACCTGTAGCTATGCTGATGGAATCTTTCCACTCTGACATTTACGTTTTTATTATTCATAGTGGAATAAAACTGTAAATTTGATCTGTAGGTCACAGTGCAACATTTTAAGTGCTCGCTCACCGTATTCATCTTAGTGACTTCTATTGTGCTAGTGTAGAGCATTTCTTTTGTCACTGAGAGTTCTGTTTCACAATAAATCTAAAAGGAATTAGCATCAGAGAATAAATTCTTTAATATTCCATGATGACATTGATTTGGGGATGTATTCTGTGATACCCTTTCTCTACCTCCATTCTTAGTTTTTCTCTAGTCCAAAATGAATTTTACATCATAAAATTAAAGTAACTTTATTTATTGTATATTATTTATCATTATTAATTTATTATAATTGTGGAATAATTAGTAAAATATTTTAGTTTTACTAAATTGAGATTCATTTATCTTCTCAGAACTTAGCTTCTTAAATGTTGAACATTTAATGGGGAAACTATTAACTTCTATTGTGTGGGTTATTTCTTTTAAAGCTATGCTTTAGCTAAGTAAATGTCATTTGAGTCTCTTTCTAAAATAAGTGTCCCTGAGTGAACACGCCCTATAATGAACATAAGTGGTTGTTGGTCACTGAGGAGAAGGTCCTGTTCCAATTTTTCCAAAAGCATTTTATATTGCACCTTAGTTTTTTGTCGCGCTGACTATCTTAGACTAGATCTTAACTCTAAATATTGCTGAAGTTATATTTTACTAGTGATTACTTTTAAAATCAAACCCCTGTATTAGGCTTTAAAGTGACTTGAGAGCGTAGTAAGTAAAGTGCTAGAACAAGAAGTATTTTAATTACAGTCCCTAGTGTGAGCATAAAACCCAGTACAAATTTTACTTAAATCCTGTTGGATTTTTTTAAAATTCTAAAGTCGTTTGAATCTCAGAAAAAAAAGGGGGGGGGGGGGTGGGGAGGACGTTAGCTTTTGAGTCACCTGAGCAAAGCCGCGGCTGTGCTCCCAGTTAGTGCTCTCACTGCACTCGCAGCAAGCTAATTGCTTCTGCTAATAAATAATCTAAAATCGATGCTGACAGCAGTTAATTGGCACAGAGATTTTATTTTGTAAAGCTCTTGGCTAACGACCTTCTTAAATTAATAGCATTAAGTGCTATGAGGAAATAAATCTGAGGAATTGCCTGTCATTTGCTTGTCATGTCTAATAACTTCCAATAATGATGGCTGATAGATTTCTGCACATTCCATTATTGAAGTCGGTGCATGTAATTATTCTCCTCATTATATGTAAACAATTAGCCATATTTGGTATTTCCTTGCAGTAAAGCTGCTAAAATACAAGCAATGTGTTAGAGGTTAAAAACTATTTTAAAAGCTTGGATTTTAATTATTTGATCGTAGGAAATCTTTCTATTTAGATACAATTGCTGAATGTAAGTACAACCAGGAGAGGGGTGATTTTATTTTTCTTAATTCCAAGATTTTAGTATCTTTTGAATACAATTTATAAAAACAAATAATGTCTCAAAAAATAACAATTTATGTGAAATTTTGTTTGTAGCTTGAAGAAGTCATGGAAAAAGAAACTTATAAGACAGCTAAGTTAATTCTCGAAAGGTTTGATCCAGAATCAAAGAAAGCAAAGGTAAAGCTGTGACTCTGCTGTTTCTTCATTACAACTTCTCCATTGTATTCGGGACAGCATAATTTAAACAGTATTGTAATTGACAGGAGTTTGAGCCGCCATCTGCTGGAGCAGCTGTAACCGCAAAACCAGGACAAGGTAAATAACTTTGTAGAAACTGCTGCTGCTGTTGGAAAGATCCATATTTACCCAAGTGAGTTCACAAGTGTGTGTTGGTGGTGTGTAAAAAGTTAAATGCTTTTATGTTCATTTATACTTGGTAATCTGACATATGACATAAAATAGATAACAATATTTTTGCTTTTATTTTGTTGGAATATGTTGATAAGTTAGAATATTGAATATTTATTGAGATTAAAATAAATAATTGGTTTTAATTTTGAAATTTAATTAATTTTACTTATATTATAATGAGCTTTTTCCTTTGCAAATAATAGTCTTAGGAATATCTGTTATTAATATCTTTTCGTTTTTATGAGATCCTTCTGGAGAATGAAGATTTTTGTGACAGTTAAAAAACTTTAAAATAACACATTTACTTAATAAAAAAGTAAATAATTTAAAAATGAGAAAAAAGAGAATTGGATATATATGAAATTTTTGTATAGTTCATATAGAAATATATAGAAAGAAAAATTTCATATAACAACAAATATTTGGAGTTGTATTGCCTATCATCACCTTTACATTAAGTATTATAAAATTTCGAGTCATTTTATATTTATTGCGAATTATTTAAATTTAAATTTAGTTTATTATTATTGTATGTAGGATGTGTGTTGTCGGGGGGGGGTCATGTATGCCAGGGCTCATGTGTATTGGTCAGAGGGTAACTGTGCAGTTGACTCAATCCTTCCACCTTTATGTAGGTTAAAGGGGTTGAGCTTAGGTTCTCAGGCTATGGGGTAAGTATTTACCTACTGAGTCTCCTCATCAGCCCCCAGAAGTCATTTCATACGGCTATATGAAATATCTCCTGAAGTGGAATGTGAATATTTTGAGTTTGCATTAGTTTTTAATCTTTATTTTTTTTTCACTAGAATCTGGTAAGTATTCAAGATTTTGTGGCATTGAAGAAAAAATTACATAGAAAACTAACTCTTGTCCATGCAGAATTGAAGCCTGGTTTTAAGGTTATGATACTATTTATAGCTTTGAGAGGGAATGTTTTTATAAATATCCACAAGGACCATGAAGATTAAATGAGTCATATTTTAGGTTTCCTAACTGGTATGGCTGTGTGGGAAGAATTCACCCAGTCTTTATAACTAGGATTTTGAATTAGAGAAATATTAGCTTGTTCTTTTCTTTATTTTTTCACTGCTTTTTTGGTAAAAGTAAAAGTTCACATACAATTATAATAAATTAGATAATATATTTCTAAAGAAATTCCCATAGTCATAATCAGTGTTAAGTTTTTCTATAGTTTATACATTTGTTAAGCAATCATAGAAAAAAGTTTTATTCTGGGTGAAACATTTTTGTGTACATACTCTAAAGAAGTACTGCTGAAGTCTGAATCCATAGGAACAGAGAGTAAAATTGTTGTTTCCAGAGATACAGAGGTGATGGGGGCAGTAGGGAGATATCGGTCAAAGAACCCAGAGCTGTAGTTAAGTAGATGAGTATGACACACAGACAGCTAATGCACACTATGGTGACTGTATTTAGTAATGCTGTATTGTTTGCTTGAAATTTGCAAAGACAGTGGATTTTATGTGTTCTCTCCATATACAGGAAAACTGGCGTGATGGGAATGGCCGATTAGCTTGACTGTAGGAATCATTTAATACTGCTGAATAAGTAATAACACTAGTAAATATGTTTTCCATGTGGTATTTTGCAAAAAACTGTGGCTGTTGCTTTTCTAGGTATACTAAATACTGAAATATTTCAAGCAAGTTATTTTAAGAATTTAAACTTTTTTTAGAAAATTTGAGACACAAATACTATTTTTCCTCTGACACCATATCATAGTTGCAGAAAACTACTGCTGATTTCATCTGGCTTGCACACTTGCACGGCTTTTGGACAGTCTTAGCGAGGATTAATTTTTAGCTGTATTGTCATCACTCATTTAAAAAATGCCTTTAAGGAGCAGGCAAGATGTCTCAGTGGGTAAAGGCTTTTGCTGCCAAGCATGATGGCCTCAGTCTACCCCAGCATCCACAGTTAGAAGGAGAACTGACTCCTTGAAGGTGTCCTCTGACCTCCACATATGCTCCGTGGCATACAGGCACACAGTTTTCTCCCTCAAATTATTAAAGACTTTTAATTAAAAATGTATTGAATACTTATAGGCAGGTGCCTTGTAGAATAAAGAGATGAGGGTATCATTTTTTAACCTTAAAAATTTATATATTGTGTGTGTGTGTGTCCTCTTGTATGTATAGTTATACACACATGTGTATGCAAATGTATGTGGAGGCCGGGGGACATCCTCATGCTGTCTCTTCAGGTGCTGTTTACCTCTTTTTTCTTTTTTTTTTGGCAGGGTCTCTCACTTCCCTTTAGCTCTCCAAGTAGCCTAGGTTGTCCGGCTAGCAACCTAGAGATCACCTGTCTCTGCTTCCCCAACAGAGATTACAAGGGAGGTTCTTGTCTGGTCTTTCATTTTGTGGGTTCTGGGGACTGAGCTCAGGTCCTGCAACTTGTACTACATACATTTTATGGTTGAGCTATTTTCCCAGTCCCATCTCTCTCAAAAACTTAAAACTTTAACTAAAATACACTTTTTTGGGGGTGGCATATTATTCTAGGATATCTTGACTCTGTTTTTTTTCTTATTTATAAAGTTCTAAATTGTGTTATAATTTTTATTCTACCTTTTCAGAATTACATTTTAGTTACATTAAATCTTATTCAGCATCTTTTAGTTTCATATCTTCTTTGCTTATTGCAGACAGGGTTACACTCTGTAGCTGAAACTAATCTGGAACTTGTGGCAGTCCTTCTGCCTCAGACTCCTGAGTGCTGGGATTGCAGATGTGTCCCTCCTTTCTTAATCTGCTGTTGTTCTTATAGGCGATGATCACATCGGTGCTGGTTTTATGTTTGTGTTAGTTCTGAGTTCCTGTTGGTTTAAATCTTTAGTTTCTGCTGCACTTGCATTCTAGCGTTCCCTCTTCCCTTGCCTCCCTCCTCTTTTCCCTTCCTCTCTCATTCCTTCTTGTCTTCTCTTACTTTTTCATCTGAGTTTTGATTAACAGAAAGTGAGGTATACTAAATACTATATTGCATACTATATGGCCCTTCCTTGAAAGGTCTACTCTCCAAAAGGATTTTAATTTGAAGTGTCTGTTTTGCTAGCTCTCTTACAAATTGCTGACCTGCAAAAATTGATGCATGTATATTAGATTATTTTGTGTAACTGAGTTGTTAATGTTTACTGTGCTTAGACTGATTATAATTTTTGAGGATAGTGTTGTTTGATTGCCTAGGTTTTATGTTAAAAGAAATAGCGTGCTTACTGGGTGATTAGCCATCTTCCTGACATTCTCTTCCAGTTCCAAGTAGATTTCATTTTTTTTTAGAACAGCTTTGGTTTGTAAACAAATGTCAAAGACAGTGTAGAGTTCCTGTTTTTCTTGTGCCAAGTTTCTTGTTTTATCATAACAAGAAGGTATGTTTGTAGCCATGTGATATGTTCATATTATTAACCAAAGGCTGTACATTACTCTTTTCCATGATACCATTTGAGTTCTAGTTATGTTTAGTTGTCTTTTCTTCTTAGACAGCTTCTAACTGAAAGGGTTTCTGGATTTTTCTTTGTTTTTTGATGACTTTCAGAGATCTTTCCCTAACATTCTTTTTTTGGTAAAGAGTTTTTAGAGAATTTTATTCTTAAAAAAACATTGGTTATTGTTTGCTATGAGGGAATAAGCATATAAAGTAGGGATCTCTGTGCATGCAGATGAGGTCGAACTGTTTGCTGCCTAGATGCGTATATTCTTATGGACTAGATAACAGGAAGATTTTTGTCTCATTTTAAAAAGTGATAAAGATTAGACAAATGAAAAATGAAATTTGCCACAATATAAACTTCTGAGTACCCTCTATATTATATAGAAATGTAAGTATTTGGGAATGGTGAAAAATTAAATTTCTTTCAAGATCTTGATTGTACAGTACTAAATTTTTCAAGGACTAAACTTTTTCATTTTCAAGATCTTGAAATTGAGGACTGTATTTAATTCTAATGTACTCTCTTAGTTATGGTTGCTGTTGTTATGATGAAATACTAAGACCAAAAGTAAGTTGAAGAGGAAAGTCTTATTTTTCTTTGGCTTAGACTTCCACATTGCTATTCATCATCAAAGGAAGTCAAGACAGGAACTCAAACAGGGCCAGAACTTGGAGGCAGGAGCGGATGCAGAGGCCATAGAAGGACGCTGCTTACTAACTTGCTCCTCATGGCTTGCTCAGACTGCTTTCTTATAGAACTCAGGACCACCAGCCCAGGTGTAGCACTGCCCACAGTGGGCCTTAAGTCAAATCAGATATTGGTTGGTTACTCCCACAGGCTTTGCCCCACCATTGCATTAGCATGTCTTGTGGGTACGACAATGTTGTATGTAGATCAAAAGGTTTGTAAGCTGGGTTATTGTTTTTGTTTCTCCTTTGGTAGCATGCAGAGTACTTTCCTGTACCAAAGACAATGGCGTATATGGGTAGTCTCTATGTAGGCACCAACTAGACTCTCCACATTCAGTGAGCTCTGTAGGTGTCTTCAGCAATAGGGCCTTGCCACCAGTTTGTGAATAGCAGCCTTTTGGTTCCTGTAGGACCGCTATGGCTAGCAACTCAACTTAAATGTAATTCATTTCTGGATTCCTGGAAGCTTTATTTGGTGACAAGAGCTGTTCAGTTTGGGGTTCTGTTTCCCCCTTTATTTGGTGGTTTAATTTAGATTGTCTTCATATATTTATATATTTTAGGAAGCTTCTCCTGTATTAGGTTTCCATACTACCCCTCAAAAGGCCCTTAATTTCAGCTCCTTCTCCTTATGTTCCTCCCTTGTCTCTCTGTCCCCCACCCCCACTTGATCCTCTGTTCCAGTTGTTCTCCACCCATCCCCCCTACAACCCCTATCCCATCTCCCTTTTCTAGGGAGATTTATCTGTCCCCTCCGAGTCCCTTACTCTGTACCTAACCTTTGTGACTCTAGATTATACCTTGGTTACTATTGACTTAACAGCTAATATCCACGTATGAGAGAATACATACATTTTTGTCTATCTTGAGTTACCTCAATTCCCATTTACCTGGGAATTTTACAATTTCATTAAAAAAAACAGCTGAGTAATATTCTATATTGTAAGTGTTCCATATTTTCTCACCATTCATCTGTTGAGGATATCTAGGTTGTTTCAATTTCTGGCTATTATGAATAGAGCAGCAGTGAACATGGTTGAGCAACTGTCTCTGGTAGGATGATATCTCCTTTGGGTGTATGCCCAAGAGTAATACAGCTGAATCTTGAGGTAGATAGATTCCCATCTTCCTGAGGAACTGCCACATTGATTTCCATAGTGGCTATATAAATTTGCAGTCTCACCAGCATGGAGGAATTTTCCCCTTACTTCACATCCTTGCCAGCATGAGTTGTTATTTGTTTTATTGTCATAACCACTGTGAGAAGTGTAAGATGAAATCTAAATCAAGAAGACCTTTTTTTTTTTTAAAGCCTGGAGATTGGATAGAACAGAGAACAAAACTGAGACATAAATTTAGGATATAATCTAGTATAGATGCAAGAGGAGGTCATGAATCATACAAGTTATGGCAGTGTCAGTGGAAAAGGAGCAACTAGAGCAGTGGTTCTCAACCTCTGGGTCGCAACTCCTTTGGGAGGGTTGATGACCCTTTTACGGGGTTGCATAACAGATACTTACATTGTGATTCATAACAGCAAAACTACAGTTATGAAGTAGCAATGGAAATTTTATGGTTGTAGTCATTATGACAAGAAGCACTGTATTAAAGGGTTGCAGTATTACAGGAAGGTTGAGAACCACTGTACTAGCTAGAGAAAGTAGATTGACATAGTTTAATGTGATTACATTTGGAAAGTAGTGGGTAGTAGGAGGAGTCAATAAACCATCTAGATATCTACCAAGTCTCTTGGCATTACAAAAATAAAGCCTCGTAGTATAGTTTTTAAGACATGGTGCCCTTTCCATGTGAGAATCTGCAAACAGTTATGTGCTTGCATAGTCTTTCCAGTATTGCAAGGAGATACTTCCTTGAATAGCCCATAGCTTCTGTGAGTTAGAAGTTAATAATCAAATCACTATTGGAAATGCCTAGGTCAATTTTGAAAAGTAAAATTGTTATATTTTCATTATAGAATATTCAGCTTAAGAATTATTAACAGAAATCTACAGATACAGATTTTAATTTTTAAATTTTTTTTTCATTTTACATTCCAGCTCCAGTTCTCCCTCCTCCCCTTCCCACACCCACCCCCTACCTCCTTCTGAACCCATCCTCTATCCACTCCTCTGAAAGGGTAAGGCCCCCATGGGGAGTCAACAAAGCCTGGCACATTAAGTTGAGATAGGACCAAGCCCCTCCCCACTGCTGAGCAAGGCATCCCACCGTAGGGAATAGGCTCCAAAAAGCCAACTCATGCACCAGGGACAGATTTTAATTTTTACATTGTTAGATTTTCACTAAAGAAACCCAAAAATAACTTGTGAAACACTTAATGTATAAATTAAATATTTTATTATTTTAATTTATATGAGTGGTTTGCCTGCATGTATATTTGTGTACCACGTGTGTGCCTGGTGCTGGAAGAGGCCCAAAGAGGATATCAGATTCCCTGGAACTGGAGCTGTTGATCACAATGTTGGTATGTGTGCTGGGAATCAAACCTAGGTCCTGTGGAAAAACAAACATTGCTCTTAACACTGAACCATCTCTCTAATTCCCTAATATCTGTATTTTTTTTTTAAAAAAAGAAATATTTAGAGGCTGGAGAGATGGCTCAGCAGTAAAGAACACTTACGGAAGAACTGGGTTCCCTTCCCGGCACCTACTGGTGACGTACAGGCATTTGCAAGTCTAGTTCCAGGGGATCTGATGAGGACACCAGGCAGGATGCATGTGGTGGGCATACATACACAAAGGCAAACACTTACATAGAAAAGAAATAATTTTTAAAATGTTATATATATTAAACACACACACATACACATATATATATGTTTGCTATGTAAGTGCACTTCATGCCTTCCAGGTGCCCATGAAAGACTGAACTGGGCACTGGAACCCCTAGAACTGAGATTACAGACAGTTGTAAGCTGCCATGTGGGTTTTAGGAACTGACCCTACTCTTCTCCTAAGTGCTGAGCCAGTTTTCCGTTCCTATAAAATATAATCACTGTAGGAACTAGATTGCTTAGGAAAGCTTCCATTCTTACTTCTTTAGTTCTATTTTTCCAGTGTTAGGGACTGAACTCGGGACTTTGCTTATTTCTGGCAATTGTTCTACTACCTAACTATAGCTCCAACCTTGAGTTTTTGACCGTGGGTCTCCCCACGCAGTCCAGACTGACTTTGAGTCGATCTGTGCCTTTGCCTCTTTACTACTTGGGTTCCGTGTGGTTTACTATACTTAGCTTTAGATTGCTTAGTGTTTGGTTTTTGTAATCCGTGAAACCTGTTTATCAGTGCTAATACTAATAACTACTACTTATTAAGTACTTTTCATGTGCTCTGGCTAAGCTCTTAATGTTAATTTTCTCATTCTTTACAATAACCATAGTGATTAAGTATTTTCATTATGAGGAAGCAAAATTGAGAGATGTCATCAGTTTAGAAGAGGCTGTGTGCATATGAAGTAAGCAGTGTAGCTGAAGTTAAGGAAGATTGAGTAGAGTCTTCTTATCATAACATGATGTTTTAGAATTACTTTTAAACTTTATTTTCTTTTGTTTATTCTAATGTAATTTGAGTCTGGCTTAATTTTGAATTTAAAACCAATATAACTAGGCATATTCTCATATTTGGTAACTAAATTTTGTTGACTGATTATTAATGTCATCCTTCCATCAAGAATTTAAGGCTGGAGTGTAGCTCAGTTGATAGAATGTCTGTCTAGCATATGTGAAGTCTTGGGCCTGATGCTGCATGCCTCTAATTCCATTACAGGGAGATAGAAGCAGGAGGATCAGAAGTTCCAGGTCCTTCTAAGGAGTTTGATATATGTACTCTATGATATATGTACCCTATGATATATCTACTCTATCTAAACAAACATTTTTTTTAAAAAAACTGTCAGATAGAATCCAAATCGGAAATGTTTCATGCACTTTGACTGTTTAGACCAATGAACATGTGATTTCTTTAGTTTCAACCCAGTAATTTAAGCTTGTGACAGTTTACTGTGATATACAGAATTATATCAGTCACAGAGGGTCTCTTTATTTGCTCTCTAATGCTAAGGTGTGAGAGGGACTGTTTATGTTGCTTAGGTCATTTAGTAGATGATGAAACAGTCTGTGTAGCCAGTCAGTAAATAGCCGTAAGGGCCATGTGCTCCTTTTGTGCCTTTTCGCAACTGTTTGAAAGCAGCTGTAGATATATGTAAACAAAACTACAAACCCAGCGGCAGCTTCAATCTGGCACATCGGACCAATCTGTGCTGTAGAGAATTTTGTAATTTCTAAAACTGAAAGCTAAGGTCATGTATGACAGAACATTATACACACACACACACACACACACACACACACACGAGAAGTTTTTCTTCTCCGAATGTATTGCACAAATCAGTGTGCCAAGAAGGTAACCACAGTGTGAAGGAAGGAGTAGGTACCTAAGAAGTGGAACCATACTTTTTAAATAGTGTTTTTATGACTACTTAAATTATTTTATTTTTCCAGAATATATATGTATATATTTCCTTATTAAAATTATTATTTTTAGTCTTACAAAACAAAGCTACGGTTTGAAATTTTCACCAATTCTGATGTTTCCTTTTCCATATCACTGTTGGAAGGCTTGTTATAAAAAGATGTGACACGTAGCTGGGTGGTGATTTTATTATGTTGAATTTGTCAGTAGACAAATCAAGTTGACTTTGTATTGTTTTGTTTTTCAAGACAGAGTTTATCTTGTGTGTACATAGCCTTGACTGTCCTGGAACTCACTGTGTAGATCAGGCTGGCCTTGAACTCAAGAGATCAGCCTGTTTCTGCCTCCTGAGTGCTGGGATTAAAGTGTGCACCACCACCATCTGGCTAGTTTGGTTGTATAAACTTGTACAGTTGGATTATGGGTTCTTAGAAAGAGTTCTCTAGTTTGGATGTTCTGTAGAATTCACATTATAAATGCTTAGAAACAGTGCCTGTTTCTAAGCTAAAAAATTTCAGTAAACGTCATTTATGATTTATTAATATAATATATTAGACATTAAGTCTAGAATATATTATTATTCTCAGAGATTCGTCAGCGAACTGCAGCTCAGAGAAACCTTTCCCCAGCACCAGCAAGCTCTAATCAGGGCCCTCCTCCACAAGTTCCAGTCACTCCTGGGCCGTCAAAGGATGTGTCGGCTCCTGGGGGACCTCCAGAAAGGACTATTGCTCCAGCCTTACCCAGGCGCCTTGGATCCCCTGCTACTTCAGTGCCTGGAATGGGTAAACACAGCACTTAATGTTATTTACAGTTTATATTGTTTTCTCTGGTTACCAATAGAATGGGCCATTTTCAGACAGTATGGAAATGGCATTTCATTTGGAAATAGCAGAGCAGTTATCTGATTAAGCAGGAGTTCCATATTCAATTAGCTATAACTCTTTACAGCTGGCACCTTGTGATACCAAACCTATTTCTTGAGCTCATTTAACTGTTATGGCTTCTTTGTTTAAATGGCAATAAAACTTTGTAGCATTCTGTAGTCTACAGTGTAGCATTATCTTTTTATATTCAATTCTTAGAATGGCTCTAGATTTATATATGGTTGGGATAGAGGAGAACACTTTAGCAAGTACTTATATTCTTTGCTAATTCCTCATATAGACACTAAAACATGACAATTACCATATTTCATGAAAAATGTTCAAGCATTGTAGTGCCTGATATTACTTTTATAAATATGAGCTAGTAGATTTTTTTTTCTCCTAAGTCATGGAACTTAGTATTTTCTGATAGGCTCCTTTTAAGTTCTATTAAGAGTGTAATTGATTTGTGGATTTTTATTCAGTGCTGTAACATATGGCCAGCCACTTTTTATTTTTTGAAGTGTGATTAGGGCATGGAAATCTATTCATTGCTTTAGCAGATGACATGGTTTGTGTAGATTTCCATATCAGATTACTAAATAAGAGTAAACTGTATTTTATTTATGGTATTTCATTCTAATTCATGTACTTTAGCACTTTATGACTAGTTGCTACTTTCTAGAGTAATGATTTTGAGAGTAGACACTACCTTAATCAGTTGGATAATTAGAGCATTTATTAAATAGAAAAACCCCAATGTTATTTATGGTAGATTTTTTGCTTCCGTTCCTATAAAAATGCAGCTAAGGTTTTAGAAGACTAGGAAACTATTGATTTACAAAGTAAGAGAACTGACTATGAATGGAATGCATAAAAATCTTAGTATTTAAAATAATTTTAATACCTTCCAATTTTATGTGTAATGATAAAATAGTTATGTATTTGTGAAATTGAGACAATTAATGGGCTGAAACAGGTCATTTTTTAAGTTGTTTTGTAGGTGATTTGAGATACCTATAATTTGTAAATTCAAATTTTGTTTGTTTAAGACCTGAAGACTTGGGTAAGAGTCTTTGACTCGCAGGCAGCTTAGCCACGCATATAGTTGTAAGGACTATACTGTTAGTATAGGGCTATACAAGCGACTGTAGCTTAAGTTTCACGTGCGTGTAAATAAAACATGTTTTGCATACATTTCTAATTAGTTTCTGTGAGAATACTGTTTATATTGTACTTTGCCAAAAATGTGAATGAGTTAAACAATTTATTATAGAGAAAATTAGTAATTCATTTTTCTATTCCAACATGTTTGTGAGAGAATCAATTTAATGTATATTACCGCAGTGCTCCCATATGTTTGAAAATTAATAAGCAGCAGGTACTTGATAATTTGCCAGACTGTATAAAAATGCCCAGTATTCCTACAATAATTGCTTTTGATGTTTATTATTTACTGTTCCCCATGACACTGTGAGTATTAAAATGCATTATTTTTAAAGTTGCCAAGTTATTTAATCAAGTTATTATGAAGTTGCAGGAAGCCTAAGATACTTGAATGAAATCTTTTGTTTTATGTATCCAGATTGCTTTGTGGACATGTTCACTTTAAATATGTAAAAGTAAAATACTCCAGCCACTTAAATTGATATAAATGCTTTTAAAGTCTAATTTGAAAACTGGGAATCTAGCTCAGTGGTAGAATGTTTGCCTAAGTACTGTATTAGCTACACATATCTTTTTATGTTTCCTTTTTCTTTTTAGTTCAGCTAAATATTTTCTAATTTCTGTTTTGATTTTGAAATGCATCCTGAATTAGTTAGATAGTTTTAAATGTTTGGTGAGCTTTAAGATGTTTTCTGCTGCTGATTCTAATTCTTTTGTAGTTAGAAAATATACTGTGTGCTGTTTGGATCTGATTAAATGTATTGAGACTTGTTTATTAAGCATTTCATACTGTATAGAGATTTATAAGAGTTAGTATTTTGTTGTTTTGTTAAAATCTTTCAACGAATGTTAAATATTCTAACACAACTAAATCACTTTGGTAGTTGAATTAAATCTTGTATATGTATTGTGTACACACAAATTTCTTCTGATTTTCTTTCTTTGCTAGGCCTTCATCCTCCAGGTCCACCCTTAGCAAGACCCATTCTCCCCCGAGAACGAGGCGCTCTGGATAGAGTTGTTGAATATTTAGTTGGTGATGGTCCACAGAACAGGTAATATTTGCTGCGCTAGTAGGTAAAGGAACATAAAAAAAAAAACACTACTGGCCAGTGTATGTGTATATTTGTGATGTTTGTGGCTTGTAGTTGTACTTTTTAGTTCTGTTATCATTTTAGAGAAATTGAATTATTTTTGTTTCACCTGTTAAAATTGAAGAGAGGAAAAATAGTACAAACATGGTAGGTCGATGAGAAATGGAATTTTTCATATGTGTCACTGTTGGTGGTGGTGATGGAAACACTTCTAATAGTTGTTACAGCTGTGCATTATTTAGCAGTTACTATTTTTCAAACGTTTTTTAGATTTTTGTATTACTTGGTCCTTACCATAAATCTAGGAAGTGTGCAAAGCATTTATGAGTGTGCAAAGCATTTATCATCGTGTGGGCTTTAAAAAATCTTCTCTGGTTAGTATCAGTTTCATAAAGGGAGCATAATTTAATGCTAATATAAGTTGTATGTTATTCAAAACAGAATGATCTGATTAAGCCAACCATCTGATTAGAGAACAGAAAATGAGAATGAGGTTTAAGTATAACTGATAATGAGAAAGGTACAGAAACCACATCATATAAAAAGTTACTATTGGTCCTAATTATATAGAATTAAATGTATTTATTTTCTGTAAGGGTTTTCAGTGTTTCTTCTTTATCTTATTTTTTATAATATTTATTGTGAATCTCTAAGAAGGTTCCATCATTTCCAGTCTTAATAAAACATAATTTGGAAGTTCTCATCTCTAGTAATAAGTCACTGAGAAATTTGTTTGTTGCTAAACTTTAAAAAAATTATTTTTTATCAATTTTTAAGTTGTGTGTATGTATGTGTGTCTGTGTATATCAATGTAGGTACACACAAGCCAGAAACATGATTCCCTGGAGTTGGAGTTTTAGATGGTTGAGTTGCCTTATATAGTTGCTGGGAATCAAACTCAGGTCCTCTGGAAGAGTGGTATATGCTATGATCTTAACTGCTGAGCCACTTCTCAAGCTCTCGATTTCTAAACTTGTTTCTGTTAACTTAAGATATATTCAGTTGTTCATTAGTTTATTTTTAATATCTTGTATATATAGATGCGCATACATACATATGCACACACATACACATCTATTTATATATGCACATATACCTTTAAATGCTTTATGCCTTGTTTATTTTATTTTCAAGTGTTTATTAGGTGCTGGGGAAAGAGCTCAGGATCTTGCACATGCTCAGCAAGCATCCTATCACTGAGCTATACTCCCAACTCAAATTGTATTTCAAACTGGTTGAAATTTTGGTAAATTTCAAAAATAACTTCAGCTTTTGCTTAAGGAGTGTTGTTAATGATTTGCTGACATCCATTTATTATGGCATAGTCATCTGTATTTGACGTAAGTCACATGACTAAGTGGCCTCTGTGACCTTCATCTGTAGTGTAACCGTGTGCTGTTTCCCTGTGGTGCAGGTATGCTCTCATATGTCAGCAGTGTTTTTCTCACAATGGCATGGCTTTGAAAGAAGAATTCGAGTACATTGGTAAGGATTTTTGGATAGTTAGGTTTAAATATTTTACTCTTAAATGTATCATTCTCATCTACTTCCATGTAATATTTTATTTTAGGTACTGCCTGTACATATTGACCAGGTACATTGTCTCCTTATTTAATACTAAAAACAAAGGAGAAAAACTAATGCAATTCCTTTTTAGAATGCATAGCCCCTAGGCCAGCTGTTCTCAGATATTCTGCTACCCAGACTCAACTACAGGGAGTCCGATTTAATTACTGGGGGTGGGAGCTAAGCATTAGCATTCACTTTTAAGATCACCAGTTATTTTCATATGCAGACATTATTAAATGCTCACATGATAAGTTATGCTTTAGAAATTTAGCATACTACATCTTAGACAAGATTCTGGGTCTTAAAATATGAAATTATTCTGTTGATTAGAAATCCAAGTTCAGTCAAGTATTTAAATAATTATGAAATTTTGCTATTAAGCTGTTATTTAACTTGTTACACCTTTAAGATTAATATTTGAATTCTCATAGTAATCATGTAGTATGCATTAATATTAATGATAGTAAGGTAGAAATTCAGAAGTTATAAATTTATAACTTGAGTCTGATTATTTATAAAACTAATCTTGTGAGTTATCTGATTAGTTCTTGAAATTTGTTTTTTCTTTCTTCATTTTTAAAAACTTCTATGAAGCTTTTCGATGTGCCTACTGTTTTTTCTTGAATCCTGCAAGAAAAACCAGACCTCAAGCTCCACGACTTCCAGAGTTTAGCTTTGAAAAGAGGCAGGCAGTGGAAGGCTCAAGCTCAGCTGGTCCCGTGTCATCAGAAAGTGTACCCTCAACACAGAGCCAGTTCAGTGAAGGTATGACTATGCTAGGTAAAATGTTTGTCTTGGTAATGTGTGTAGCCTAATAATAAGAGCACAATTCTTAGAAAGATGACAGTGGATTAATTTATCAATTCTTCAGCATGCATATGTCAGCTATTGCACTGATGGCTTCTGGATTGACACGCTGCGTTTCAGTTTTCCAGTGCCGGTCATGTGATCGGCAGCACTTAGCACCAGCTGGCTAAACGTTGTTTATGGAGTGAACTCTTCTAAAGTCCAAGAGACTCGACTAGGGATGCTCTCATGGAATCCCTTTGATGTCTCACAATGAAGCACTGAAATTAAGAAACAACTGTTCTAACGGCAGAACATTTAGAATATATGTGGGTGGAATAGGTGTGTGTCTACCATTCAGATTGTAGAGATGATCGGAAAACAGAAACCTTAGGATTGGAAAGTCATCCTTGCATGTTTTGGACAACTTGGTTAATATTAATAGCACCGTGTTTCATTTGGACAGTTTATTAGAAGTCCATGAGCTTAGCATCATCTGTGATGAAGGAGTCACTTCGTTGTATAGGAACAAGATTTATTAGAACTCGTGTTTTAGAATTATTCTTGCAAGTCTATCGTAGGAACTCTGAAGGTTCCCTGGGAACTTGAGCAGTTGAATAGAAAGCTGCCAGCCGTTTCTTGTTAGTAGTGTTCACTCACTTCTTGTCACTTATTTCTAAATTAGGAAGATATTTAAAATTATGAAACAGACCATAATATTTTGTTACTATTGCCTAGTGTTTAAAAACATCCTGGAAGCTCATAAATTAAGTAACAATTATATATTGATTATTATGATTTATTTTTCTTAAAAGAATTAGAATTGCTTTAGCTGGATTATATGAAGCAGTGAATATTTTAGATATCAGAAAGTTAGTATGAGATTCAAGATCTTTTTTTTAAACTTTGAGGAATGAACCTGAAATATGTGTGGAATTTGGCTTGGCGTTTGGCTTACTAACAAGTATCAAAGTGACCATGAATACAGACAGCTATGACTGAGCCTGTGTACTTCCAGCGCTGAGTGAATGCATCTTCGTCTCCAAGTCTGCAGCATCAACTCCAAACACAGTGTCAACCTTTTTCTTTTGCTTACGTCATGCTCTGAGCTGCATGCTGACACATGCAAACCATCTGCCTTGGCATTGCGACCTCTTGGACTGAGAATAAAGGATTTTATACTGAAGATGCCTAGAGGACAGACTGAAGTCCCTTCATGAGTAGCCATGCTTATGGAAGCTAAAGTGAATGCTTGAAAGCCAATAGTATTTTTGTTTGGTTTTCTTTTTAAAGAGGAAAAGGAAAAAAATACAGCAAAATATAAATTTTGATAATGGGTCCTATTCTTTATTTCTTCTGCTAAGGTCAAGATGGATAGTTAGCAAACGACACACAGCCATACTTTTCCTTCTCATCTAATCTAGGAGGAACAGTCCCTCAGATGTCCCATTTTCTATCTGAAAGCTCCGGAATGAAGTCTAACTGGCTCAAAGTGAACCCCAGTAAGGTAATGTTAATAGGTGAAGACTAAACTTGAGGCAGGGTCTGATGACTCCTTAGTACTAAGAGCTGAAGCAGTAATTCCATCTTTTAAAAGGCGTCTTTAGAGTAGTAACTTTTTGTACTTCTCTTTGGATTCATCAGAGTGGCCGGCCACCTTTTTTATTGTTTCTTCAGAAGATGAAAACTTCTCCGAGACCCCTATTACTCCACAATGTTATAGTTATACTGGGTCCTATAGCAAATGATGCCCAGTATTTCTGATGAGCAAAGAGAGCTGCATTTATTTTAAACACTGGTGGATAAATTGAGCTATTAAGTAAGACAGTATGATTTCAGTCATCTCTGGACTAGTAGTCAATAGAGCTGGAAGATTAAAGTTTGATTTCTAAATTCATTAGGGTTGTAGAAAATTGAGGACTGGACAGAAATTTTGTTTTCCTTTTGTGTTTTTAAAGCATATTGAAATAGCTTCTTGACCAGGAACTGTACAGAGTATGTTGATGAATTTACAGATACACTGAAAAGGTAACTTCCTTCTGAGGTTTTCTTCCAAAAAATATCAGTAAGCATTTATATAAATGATCTACAACCAAGATTTTCTTCTCCCAGTCTGTGTAACATGTCTTTGCAGCTAAGTTTTTTCTGGATTCTGATATTAGAAGAATTCACACTTAGGGTGAGGGTTTTAAATTTTTGGTATCACTTTTCAGAAGAGCATTGGAATCTAGTTTCACCAAAGAGACCTAGAAGAAATCTTGTTAATCATTGAACTTTTTTACTGTACATCCAGATACTTTGATAACATATAATAACAAAAATACAAGAAACTAGTGGTATTAATTGCTGTATTTCTAAAACTGTACCAGATACGACATACCAAACAAGGACTTGCTTTTAGATTCCTTATTTTCTTTTATGATAAAATGATACAATACCTAAATATATAAAAAATTAACTCTGCCAATGGACATTGAAGTGGTTGACTGGTTTTCCTACCCCTAAAACTGAGGTCAGCAGGATGACTCAGTGAGCAGAGCCCTTGCCATGAAAGTCTGATGAGCCCACATCAGGAGGAGAGAACGCTGGCTCCACAGTTCCAGCTCTAATGCTGATGGTGAGGAAAGTCCTTCCCAAAATACTTGTGTCTAAGATTCCAGTCATGGGTGCTGTAATCAGCTCATTATTGTGTGAGTCTAGTGCTGCTTTCTTTGCTACCATATTTGAAAAAAAATATTGTTTCCATTATTCAGTTATGATTATCTAGGGCCCAGGTCATTGCTTTAGTTGAAAATATCTTTTATTCACTCTATGATATGAAAATTCTTGACTTCTATCCAGTATTGATAGTTAAGTAAACTTTATAAAATAAGAAATTTGGTAATCTGGAATTATTTCTTTTTTTTTATGCAGAATACTGTTACTATTAGGTTCTATTGAATGAATAAGAATTCTGTTTTTAGTGTTTATCTTATGATGCTCTAGGATATTTTACCGTTTGATAATGAAAATTTTGTTGGTTCCTGTGTATATGTCAGACTCCTCACCAACGTTTCAACCTTTGTTTATGTTGAATTTCTGAATATTTTTGTATTTTGTGTTAGATATAGATATAATTTGATCTTCTGATTCCTTTTTCCTAAACATTTCCACCTAATGATTTAGTTTTAGGTTATTGCTTCGTAATGAAACTCATAATTTGTTTAACTGAATTGTTCACTAGTGATAAATAACTATATAATATTCTATGTTTTGAATTTTAACTATTTTTAAAATATGGTTATAATTTAAATGAATTATTTATTGAGTCATTCTTATGACTTGGGATGAAATTTATGCCTTTGTTCCTTAAATATACTGACCCTAAGGAAGGCAAAAATGCCTTCTTTACAACCTATGTACTTAAAGATTGAAATTGTCAATTTCAATTTAATTGTGGGGAGGGATATGTATAGTGTACTTGTATAGTGAGCACTATAAGAGAGCCAAGCTTCAATTTCCCCACAAAGAAAAAAGAAATTATGTTGCTAGATTATTTAGTTTTCTTTAAGAGCTAGAATAAAAATCTAAAGCTAAGCCTCTTTTTATGTTTTTGCACCTGTGTGTTTATAGGTGAAGCAATAGTGTTTTTATTATACAATTACATTGTTTTGAATTTGAGTCATCTAGCTGAGCTGAGGCTCAGCCTAAACAGTCAGTTACTAAGTGCTATTATTTGGTAGAAAAACACTGCTGTTTTAATAATTTGGGAGTGGAAAGTGGTGAATAGGAATAGGAAATAAAACATTGATTTATCATTTTTGTTTCATCCTATTTTGGTGTACTATTTTTGTTTGTTTTGCATTATAGATACCAAACCTGATTTGAATTATTTTTTCTTGCATATATAATCAGGTCATTCAGTTCACTATCTTAAGTCTTAGTCTTTTGGTATCTTATGGTAAAATGCTAACATATTTTAAACTAAACTGAAGCTTCATTAAACAAAACAAAACAGTTTTTGTTTTTATTAAAATAGGCAAATGATGTTTTCATAGAAATTCGTACTTTGGGGATTATATGTGATCTTATTATAATACTGTAATGTTTAAATGTAAATTGTTACATATTTGTTAATTCTGTGCACCTGGTCTTTTAGATCTTGTTTGTATGGTTTCCTGTAAGGTGGAATTGCCCTCTCCACATCAAATGCTAGCTGTTTTGCGTCGTAGGGATATAACATGCCAGTCTTTGTTAGTGTTGCTCCCATCAAGACTGCTTTTACAGATCAACCCAAGACAAGAAAAATACTTGTAAATAGGCAGTTTGGTTATTTTTATTTTCTACTGATCATTTCACAAGTTTTTAGTTTTCCATATATTTTCTGAAATATAATTTTGACTGGAGACTGTGTCATATTTTCTAGTTATTGAGACACATGGTATTTCTTTGAATTCATGTATTATAGGTGTTTAAAATTCCAGTTCTATTCTTTGTATTAGCTTTTTATACAAACCTAGAATTTTAAATTTTGCTTTGACATGATAAAGTTTTTGAAGTTAGTAATATTACAAAAGTTTAATACAATAAAGTTTGAACCTTGACCTCTCTGCTATTGTGTTTGTATGTTAGAACTTAGCCAATGGTATGTGCCTATGTTCACTTAAACGTGGTGTTTGTAGGTTGTACCCTGGTTATTAGCTTTTTTTTTTATATGGCTTGATGGATTGGTTTCAGAAGGCTTACTAAACAAATGACAAATTTCTTGCTGAATAAATATTGGCTTATGGCCAGAGAGTATGAAAAACTGTGACTCTTTTTTTTTTTAAATTTATTAGATTTTTTTTTTTTAAATACCAATTCAAATTCCCACTCCCTCCTTTCCTCCCATCCCCTCCACACTCTCTTCCACCCCACCCCATCTAATCCTAAGAGAGAGTAAGGCTCTCCTACTTTGCTTTGTGGAAGGTCCAGGACCCTTCCTACTAAATCTAGGCTGAGCAAGGAATACATCCAAAGATCATAGGATCCCCAAAAGCCAGTACATGCAGTAGAGATAAATCTCAGTGCCTCTGCCAGTGGCCCCTTGGTCTGCCCCAGCCATACAACTGTCAACCACAGCTGGACTGGGAAGGAACACGCATACGCCCAAGCTGTGACTCTTAAAATTCCACTGTGAAGGGCTGGAGAGATGGCTCAGAGGTTAAGAGCACTGACTGCTCTTCCAGAGGTCCTGAGTTCAATTCCCAGCAACCACATGGTGGCTCACAGCCATCTATAATGAGATCTGGCGCCCTCTTCTGGCATGCAAGCATACATGGAAGGAGTGTTGTATACATAATAAATAAATCTTTAAAAAAAAATTCCACTGTGAATAAATTCTGTGAGGGTGAATTAAAAGTGGTTGGTGACTCCTAAGTTTTCTGCAGGAGAGCTTGTTTGCCTTTGTAGCAGAAGTGATTTGTATATATCCATAGAGTTTTGCTTGCCCTTTCTGCTTTCCCTTTCTGCCCTGCTAATTTAACAAAACTGAGTGACTCATTGCTTTTCTTCCCGTGGTGCAGCGGTGCCATTTAAGTTCCGTATGATAACAACCAGACTTCTGTAATTGTGTCACAAGCATCGTTTATGCCATCCCTCACTGCTGTGTGATTGCTACTATTTGGATTGTCATACAGAAAGATGTCACTATATGGATGCCCCTAACTGTGGAGTCTGAGCCTTTTGTTCTGTAAAAGGAGAAAGTAGTTGTAACTAATCCTGTAGATGGGCGTCCAGGATATAAGTTTTAGGAGATAATACTTTAAAAATATTTTCCAAATTCTGACAAAAAAGTTTGTTTGTGTTTATTAAAACCAATATGCTTAAATCATAGATTTCTAGTACTTTTACAATGGTGTGTGCATAATACTCATCATTTTATTACAAAACTATTTATTTTGTGAAATTTTGGCTACATGTTACAAGGACTTTAACTAGACTCTTTCCTTAAGCAAGCTGGCCTTCCCCAAGATTTTTTTGTATCAATAACATTTGTAATTTATCATAAAGAACAATTTTGAGCATAGCATTTTACCTTTTGCTTAGCTCATGTGGTTTAATTACTTTTCTGCTAGCAAGAATATTAGGTTTATTATATATATAAAAAAGGAAATGCCTTAAAGCTGGATTTTTATCTTTGACTTAAAAATGAGGTGACTCCAAGCTCTCACTGCCTCTGTCGCTGGCTCCCCCACCTCATTCTTTAATATTTAAAGGATCTAAGAAAGTTTAGTTAATCAATATTTTATTACTAAATTATTATTATTAAGAGATTTAAATTAAAAATCAAAAATAATTAGAATTTAAAGGGAGTAAGTTCTCATGTAGGGACAAACTTTCTGTGTATAGACAGAAGGAAAAAGACTGGTTTTGTCCTAGCACTGTAAAGTGTGGAGCATACTCTAATCCCTAAGTTTAAACAGCGGGGTCTTGGACAGGGATAATGAGAGACAAGACATGGAGTTGTAAAGATGGATCTTGACTTCTCTCATTCTTGAAGAATGGAAATGTATATAAGGTCTGGAGAGTACTGCCTACATATGCATACATACATGCTCATATGTGCTCATCACAAAAGCATGCATTATACATTGCTTACAGTGTTAGGAAAACTATTTTCTGTTCAGGAACTTGGGAGATTGTACATTTGTTTTCTAGACTCTTACCTTATTGTCCTAGTTAGGTTTCTCTATTGCTGTGATAAAACACTTACGAAATTAATTTCATGGAAGAAAGTTTATTTCACCTTATAACTCCCAACTTCCAGGTCATAGTCCATCACTGAGGGATGTTGAGTCAGGAACTCAGGGCTGGAGCCTGGAGGCAGGAACTGAAGTAGAGACTGGAGGGGTGCAGTTTACTGGCTTGCTCCCTATGACTTGTTCATCTTTTTTTTTTTTTTTTTTTTTTTTTTAAAAATGCAACTCAAGGTCACAGTGTGCTGACCTCTCCCACATCAGTCATTAATCAAGAAATGCCTTGAGGATGTGCCTTACCCTCTGAGGAGTGGATGGCAGTGGTTGAAAGGAAGTAGGTGGAGGGGAGGGAGTGGGAACTGGGATTGGTATGTAAAATGAAAAAAGATAGTTTGTTTTCTTTTTTAAAAAAATAACAAAATAAATTATAAAAAAGAAAAAAGGAAAAGAAGCCAAGCTACAGCTAGGCATTCATAGCTAAGAAAAAAAAAGAAGAAGAAAGAAAATAGAAATGTCCCCAGCCCACAGACTGATCTGATGGAGGTGGGCCTTCCGTTCAGATCCCATTTTGCAGGTGACTCAAGTCTGTGCCAAGTCATCAAAAAAATCAATAAATTTACAGTATCTCATCCTGTTCGGCCTTGAGTTTTGGACACTGAACTTGCCGATGTATCTTTAGAAGCTTGTTGCGTATGAAATTATGAAAATATGGGTTTATTTGTGTCAGTTACTCAGTTATATTCATTTCTAAGTGGTATGCTATAGAGTTAAGTGCTTGCTGTAGAAGATGTAAGAGGTAATACTAGACCATTCTACTGTTTCTTAGTACATGTGTAGTTGATCTTTGATTTTGCCTTACTTAGCACTTTTGACATTTGGCTTTTCCTGAAGTCTTATGTCTTTCTCTTTTCAGAATCTTTAGAAGAACAAGATGTTCTTGATAATAGTGCAGAGCAGAGAGATGAGAAAATACCAGTGGCAGAGCAGACAAGCCCAGTGAGTGACGAAGCATCAGGTTCAGAGGGAGCAGAGGAACAACAAGAAGAGACTGAGACCGAGGAAACGCCAACAGATGAAGCCAAGTCACCCATGCTCAGTGATGATTCTGTTTCTAATCTTGAACCAAGTGGAGAACCTTTGGTGACACACTAGTAAATAATTCCATGTGCCTTCAACTGGATGTTTGTAGTCTTGTTGATGTCAGTTATTGCTTTTTATTGTGGTACTCAAAAATTTGCCTTTTAGATATATGCTTAATATTATTCAAATTTAGATTGCCTAGTGAGCTCAGTGTGTTCAAGTCCTGACTGCTGGGCATTGAATGTAAAAGCGCGTGGTGTCAGTGAGTGTGCAGAGACCCACGAAGCTATTAGGTACTTTATGCATTCTAAAGTTTAAACAAAAAAGCATTTTTGTTTTCTACATCTGTAACTTGTAAGTAATACCCATTTTGACATAGGAATTTTGGCTAGGAATAATTTCTTTAATAGCGTGAAACATAATTAGGATTTTGACTATTTCATCATTAAATTTTAACTCCTGAGATATTTGCCAGTGGGGAAGGAAATATCTGTTTAGGTGTTTACATTAAGTGACACTGAAAGCTGTAACCCTGATTACATAGGCATTGGTACGAACTCTCAGTAAGAGGCAGCCAACAGTCAAGGGCAGGGCTTCTTTTGATGTCTTCTCCTTTGCAGCTGGGCCAAAGGCACATGATGTATATAGTTAGTTTATGTTTACATGTTAACAGATAGGAACTGCGTCTGCACTTGGCTGTACTTGAATTCTTGGTATTATTTATATTTGTAAAATAATGATGATATATATAAATGAATTTTTTTCATGTGTGTGTTTTGTTAAGGAAAATAAAGCTGACCTGGCAATGGTTTTTCTTTGTTAAATATCTAGACTTCTTCACATAGTGTTTGATGGATGACTAGCTATCTGAAAAATAATTTTGGTAGAGAGAGTTCATTATATGATAAATACATATAATGTTTTGTTTTTCATTTAGACTTTGAAATTCAGAGAAAGAAGATAGTGTTTTTAATCAGAAGTTAAAATTTTCTGATTTTGAGATGCGTTATGGCATTTGTAGTTTTAACTCTGAGAGACAAATACTTTTTTTAGACTAGGCAGTTAACTGCTAATGAAGTTTACTGGATTGAATATGTGTACCTAGGATCAGGTGGGAAGAATTTTGATATAGACTAGTTATTCTTAAACACAATATGATAGTTTGTTCTAGCTTCCTTTTATGTGTCTTCTCCAGTATTGAAACACCCAGAAGTGAAGTCACTATGCCAGAAGAGCGCCATGCTGGCATAGTGTGTCTGGCTAATCTTTTTGGTTATAAATATCTATTTCAATTCTATATACTTTTTATCTTTTAAAAGTTTATTTTTATGATTTAATATCTCATCTGACATATATTAAAGAATCCAGTTTAACAGTCTGTGATATTTTAGTTTAGTGCCCATAAATTCAAGCATATGGAACTAGACTTGAATGTCAGATTTGTAATCCTGGGCATTTCACCTAACCTCTCTGCATTCACTTTATTTGTAAAGTGGGAAGAATAATATCCATTTTCCATAGGTACTCGAATGATAAAAATAATTTATATGATGTGCCTAGCTTTCTTGCTGGAAAATTAGTAGATATTAGGTTACATGGTAGAATTTATTATTATTATTTATTATTATTATTATTGAAATCCTTATGAAATATGGAGGTTATTTCTATGGGAGATAATGAAGTTTTACAAGCATGGACATTGAGTTGGTTTCTCCGCACAGAAACAGTTTGCTGCATTTACTGTCATGCATGTGTCTAAATGATAGATTAAAGAAATGGAGAAGTGAAACTCGTGGAATAGAATCTTTTTAAAAAGATGTGTTTATTTTTATGAGTGTGAATGTTTCACTTGCAGAAATGTATGTGCATCACATGTGTGCCAGGTACCTGCAGAGGCCAGAAGAGGGTACTTACTGATCCCTTGAAATGATAGTTACAGATGGTTGAGAGCTTCCACGTGGATGCTGGGGACCAAATCTGGCTGGAAGAGCAGGAAGTGCTCTTAACCTCTAAAGCTGTCTCTCCAGCCTCATCTAACATTTTTTGTTTTTAAATTTCACTGAGTGTGTGTGTGTGTGTGTTAGTAGCACCTTGTTGAATCTTGTTAAAAACATCTGATTTAAAGTGCTTGAAGATGAGTACCTCAGAGAAAGGAATTTAATGATGAACCTAAGCAGCTATTACAAAAAACACCTCCAAGAAGAAAGGCAGAGGAGGGCTAGAGAGGTGGCCTAGTGGTTGAGTAAGTCTGCTCTTGGAGTGCTGGAGTGTGCCTCTTAGCACTCACCTGGGCTCCCACCTGGGGCTCCAGGACCAGACGATCCGATGCCTTCTCTCTGGCCTCCTAAACTCATGTGCATTCTCTTTCCCACAGATACACATAATTAAAAATAAAAATCCAAATCATAAAAGGAGATTAGTAAAACTAACACAACAGAGAAATAATTAGCCTATTTTAAAGCAGAAAATTTGACTCCGATGTCAGTGGCTAAAGAGAAGGAGACTCCCCATTTCTGATTGTGGAGAGTAGTGTGAGTAGGGAGACCAAGCTGTTAAGCCAGAGTGGTGACTGCAGGTCATGTGTCCAGTGTGACCTACAGACAGGGCTTAGCTTCTCTCTCTGTCTTTCCTACCTGTCCCCTTCTGTAGGCGCTGAGTTGAGAATCTCCTCTCAATTCTGTGGCTGTGCTTTGTACTCTCCTGCCTTCAGTGTCCGCTTTATTCTTTTCTGTCAGGGGTGCCCCTCATCTCCCCATCTGGAGCTGACCGGCTGCCTTTTAGTCCTGTAGCATGTCACTTTGTTTTTGCTCAGAATTTTTACTGCAGGGTGTTTGTTTTCTCATCAGCTGGCTTCCCAGTTTGCTTTTCTTCTGTCTGGTGTTGAGGGTCTACTAATGTTCCACTCATTAATCGGGTGCCTAACTAGGCAAGCCCAGTGAGCACTCCTGGTCTTCACTCCCGCTTGGCAGGTTGATTTTTCCTCTGAGACACCCTTTTCCTTTGGTTCTGGGCGTACACTACCGTTAGCCTCTGGTGTTTTGTTGTCGGTGTCCTTTGGATGCTGGTATTCCCTGCTTTCACCTACTGCTAGGCTTCACCCTGTGCACTCTGGGAGCTCTCCTCGGAGTCCAGAGATTTCATAATTACTGTCTATCTGTGAACGTCAGCTCTCTAGCTTGTCATAGCTGCGTATTTACCCACCTCCTGCCCTGCCATTGTGAAATCGGTATACTTTAAAAAGAACACTTGTTCAAACTTGTTTCTCATTTCCACCAAATAGTATCAGTATTCAAGCCAGTTTGTTGCCTCTTCCTTTCCCTCTGTAGTCAAACTGTCCATCCCAACTCCTTAACACTGGACTCCCCCCAGAATACTGCAATACAGCCCGGCATGGTCTGGAATCTGTGACTCGTGGCCTCGGCTTCGCAGTTGCTGGGATCATTTCTGTGAGCCATTGTGCCTTGCTCCCTTTACATTTATTTTATTTCTCCATCTCATTTGAATGATAGGAATAATTTGAATTGTTCCATCAAATAACATGCTGCCCGCTGTGTGTGTGTGTGTGTACACACAATTTTGGTTTTGAAACAGTTTTGTGAGTATTTTATATCTTGAGTTATGGGAAAGAAGCAGGATGTAGAGAGAAGCAGCAGCTTTGTCTATATCTGGTATGTGGGAACTCTGAGATCTGAATGTGCAGAAATGCCTAGTGATGACTTCCCTTCTTGTCCTTGGATTGAACCCACGGCCTCATACATGCTGAACACAGCTCTGCTGCTGAAATACATATGCCTCCAGCTCCTAGAATCCTTACACTCAGTCATCTTGGAATTGCCTGTTAATGCGCGCCTCTCTCACCTGAGGCTGTGAAATCCTCCTTTTAGACTGGCTTATCTGTCCTTATCTTGCTTGCTTTCCTCTCCGTTCTGTGCTGCTCAGACCTTTGCTTCTGCCTGCCATGATTTCTGTGTCTGAGAGAGGAGATCTGATCTTACAGTACTTACCGACAAAGCCCAGGGCAGATTTCTCCCTACTTGATTCTGACATCTGTTGTTGTTGTTTTGTGTTATAGCTACTGTCACCACCGACTCCCCTTCACCACACACATGCTCCTAGTATACATGATTATTTTCAGTGCTGAATATATAGAAAGTTTCTCTCGGCTGCCCAGATTTCTTAAGCTCTTACTCAGAAATATCACCTGTTTATGTAGATACTGTACAACACAATATATAGGTGTTGAATTGGAGTAGCTCCGCTTGGAGCCCAAGGTTGGACATTTTGTTGTTTATTAAACTATGCACTTTTCATCCTATACTCTTTGTGCATACACACCTTCACAGTAGAGTCAAGTCTGTAGCTATGTGCATGTGGGTGTGTGTATGTGTGTGGGTGTGGGGGGGAGGAGACTGATTTTAATTATATAATGATTGTCATTAAATACTCTGCTGGGTTCTACAATGCCAAATGATTGTCAGTTTTAGGTCAGGGACAGTGGGCATCTGAGTGAAATCAGATCTAACTTAATGTAGGACAATTTTTATTGAAGCATTAGTTTTTCAGTGTTTCAATATTGGTAAGTTTAGGATTTCTTTAACAACTTGTTTTTCCAACTGGCAGTAGCTAACTTAGTTACCATATGACCTGTTAGATTTTTGTATGTGTCATTTGGAGGGCAGGATGAGGAGGGCAGCTGTTGTCAGTGGTTGTGGGCGGTGGAACTGCCCTAGGACAATAGCAGAAGAAAATGTAGAGACAGTTGTCACAGTTCACAAACTAAGGAGCCACCAAAAAATAATTTAAGAACCAAGTCATAATGAATCAGAGTAGAAATGCTTGTGTATTGAGACCGTTGGATCCTAATAACTTTATAATTTGGCATATCTCAAGCTTTTCTAAGTGTATTAATACTACTGGTCAGTTGGTAATATATTTTGAATTTAGACACAGTTATATAAATATGGAAAAGTTATGTCTTGAAAACAATAAAAACTAAAATGAGTGCAAAATTAAAACATTATTTAATTGCGTCAGTTTGTGGGCAATTTGTCTCAGCTTATTTTAGCTAGCTGTCATTTTCTACTTGTATTTATTTTTTCTTTACCGTTACCTTTAGCCTTTTTAGGGCCAGGCGATGACTCAGCAGGTAAAGGTAGGCATCTGCTGCCTAGCCTGACGACCTGAGTTTGACTGCCAGTTCCCACATGGGGAAAGGATAGAGCCAACGTCCTCAGGTTGTCTTCTGAGCTCTGCATGCCTACTGTGGCATTTATATGCCCACATATATCCACAAAGGAAATCAGTATAAATATCAAAGACTTTGAAAAGACTGTTGAAGTCAGAGCCAAGAGAGAAGGTGTTTTTTGTAAGCATGAGGTCCCGAGTCCGGGTCTGCAGCTCCGGCGTAAAAGCTGGGCGTGGTTGGCTGGGGCTGTCATTCCATCCCTGACGGGTGGTGACAGGTGGGCTCAGGAGCATGCTAGCCATCTCCCCTTTTTTCCTTTGGCATCAAAACTGATAAATATTGCAAAAACTCTCAGAAACTTAAAAAGTGTTCTTAAAGCCTCTCTCAGTTCAGAATTCTGTGAAAGAGGCCAAATTTTTAGCTGGTCACGGCTTTGGCCAGATCTCTGGCCTTTGATTGAGGCCTGGACATAGACCGCGTTTCTTCGGATTGTCGCCCCCTTGATCTCAAACCAAAGTAAACACCACCTCGGCACTGGATGTACTCAATATATAATCAGAAAGTAGATTCCTACTGCTAAGTGCCTGACTTGTCGATGCCCTGGCTCTGCCTGAAGCTCCTATCAGTGATGGAGTTAGA